AAAATCTTTAACAAGTGTTCATTTTATCTTATTTGCATGAGAGTCATGATTTTAGCTTTAAAAAGTTTTTATTCTTTAATAGCAGGTAACACTAGCTAGCCATTGCTAACAAACAATCCCAGGATCTCAGTGGTCAGCACAACCAAGGTTTATTTTTTGCTCATCACACTCTGAAGTGGGTCAAGTGGCCCTACCTGAAGGCTGTCCCCCCAAGTAATAACTCAGGGACCCAGGTTCCTTCTATCTTGCGTCTCTGCCATCCTTTATGGCCTCCTGGAATTTTCTGCTGAATTCTCTCCTGGCTGATGAGTGAAACAAGTGAGAAAGATGGTGTGGGACATTTTATGGTGTCCCTCACTTCTGTCCACACTCCATTAACTACAAGGCCCAATGTAACTGAAAAGGAGGCTGGAAAATGTAGGCTTGTGTGTGCAGGATGATAAAAGGGAATTATGGGGCATTTTAGTCCATCTCTTCAATAAAGACAAACACGTGCCCCTTTCACACTGAATTTCACCATGAAGGTGCTCAGAGTCAAGCATAATCCATCACCATCACCAGGCTTTCCCTTGTGCTCTCTAGTGTCTGAGCTCCCCTAAAGGCTTCCTCATGCCCCCTACACTCACAGGGGCTGTTGAGAAAATATAGAAAAAATGGTCAGGGCCCCTCAGAGGTTCAGAATGTTGCCGAGCAGCTGATGTAAATACGCACGTGCGCACAGGTGTTCCTTGTTATTGTCTAATGCGATTGAGCATGTGCAGTTCCGCCCACTCCTCCATCTTCTGTATGGAAATTGGAGTGGGGTGATTCCAATGCTGTTCCTGATATCCTAGGGGTTTGGCGTTGTGGACTTAGGTAAAAAGGATTAACAGCTCTGATACGCAAAGCTTCTGAAGACGCTCAGGGAAGCTATTTTGGGTGGCTGCTCCTAGCTCTGAATAAAGCCTATCATTTTTTCACCCATGGCTCCCGGACTTTTTCCTATTACCTAGCTCTTAGACCTACGTGTGGAGGGTTTGTGAATGGGCTCGAGGGGTCTGTGAGCACCAGGCCCTAGCCCTAGCTCTACACTCATGTAGAGACAAACCAACTTTCACCATGTGAGGAAAATAGAGTAGTTTAGTCAGGCCCTCTCGCCTCAGGTCCGGTTGGGGGTGGTGCAGCACATTCTTTGTAAACAAGTTTATGGGTTGGAGTTAGTGCACATGCGCACCTCTCTACCCTTTTGTCGCTATTGGGTGTTCTTCAGAGTTTGTGGAGCAGAGGCAGGAACTGCTGGTTGGCAGAGATCTTGCATCTAAAAATAGAACATGTTTACTTTGCTGGCAGCTGCTGTTTTTCTTTGGGCTTTGCTGGTAGCAGTTGAGTTTCTGAGCTTCTCTTTGGATTGCCTAACTCTTAAGATGTGAGTGTGCTGAATAAAGCCTATTATTACTTCAACCAAGGCTCCAAGGACCTTTTCCTGTTACCTAGCTCATAGACCTGCATGTGAAAGGTTTGTGAATGGGCTCAAGGGGTCTGTGAGCTCCAGACCTTAGCCCTAGCTCTCTACACGCTGTATGAATGAGCCATCTTGGAAGTGGATCCTCCAACTCAATAGAGCCTTTGGATGACTGCAGCCTCAGCTAACATGTTGACTTCAACCTCATGAGAGACCCCACACCAGAACCACCCAGCCAAGCTGCTACTGAATTCCTCATCCACAGAAAATGTGCAAGACAATATATTTTGGGGAAATTTACAAGTAGTCATGGACAATTAATACCTTGGTACAGACCAGGAGTGCTGAAAGAGAGTCCTGCTCTCCCTGCAGGCCTGATGGCAATCGCCACAATTATAGAGCCAATCTCCAGGAAGGTTGTCTGTCCAATATGACTGCTGACGTTTACAAGTGTGCAAGATACTTAAAATGGGGCCCCGAACTTCTGAGAATAGAATTACAGGGTCATGTGTTCCCATTTCTGGAGGACTTCCAGAGAGGGCTTTACTGAAAACTTCTAACCTGCGCTATCTGCTTTTGTAAACGGGCTTGCTCTAACTTAACAACAGTGAAGCCATCTTAAAAGCTGTTACATCAAGACACACCTTGCCCCCCTCCCCCGGGCCAGCTAGATACACAGGATGTTCTGCTAGCTTGCAAGAGCTAAGAAAAGTAGGTTGCGGTAGAACATAAAACTTTCCACATAAGCATGTTCTCTAAGGAACCTCTGGGTAGGGGTCTTATCACACCTGGGTAAGTGGGGCAAGAAGTGTGGTTGCTTGAGGAGGGTGAGAACCCAACGCGTTGGAAATAATAAACCTCTTGCTAATTGCAGTGCTCGTGGTCTTGTGGCCTCTTCAAGGCGGTGAGAACCCAACGCGTTGGAAATAATAAACCTCTTGCTAATTGCAGTGCTCGTGGTCTTGTGGCCTCTTCAAGGCGGTGAGAACCCAACGCGTTGGAAATAATAAACCTCTTGCTAATTGCAGTGCTCGTGGTCTTGTGGCCTCTTCAAGGCGGTGAGAACCCAACGCGTTGGAAATAATAAACCTCTTGCTAATTGCAGTGCTCGTGGTCTTGTGGCCTCTTCAAGGCGAGTATTCCCGTTCTATGTGAGATTGGGATTCATCCCAAATCTTACATTACAACTTTAAGCCCCACTCTCAGGATGGAGGTGAAGTGCCCTGGTGTACTATTTATATTTTTATTTTCTGTACATTATGATGTTTTGACATCTTAAAAACCTTTCCAGCTGGGGAAAGGCATCTCAGATATAGCAAAGGGCTCAGCTGGGAGCATGGCTTTGATATGCAAACTATCCAATCCAGAGCCCCCACTCCTCTATCTGGCCCATACATCCTAGGAAACAGTAACCCTGTGCTTTAATCATCCCAGGGCCAGGTGCCTAGCAACTAGGGAACACCCCAATAATTTAAAGCCTGCTAGAATTATTCCAGCTGGCTAATCTTTAAACACTGTTTACTCTGCCCTGCCTTGTCTTTCCCTCGGAAACCCCAATAAAGGCTCTGGCTTAGACTTTCTTCTTGCTCATGCCCCTTCTGCCTCTTGACAGGTGCTGGTGCTTTCCCACGTGGCTCTTCATCATGTGCTATGCCTGCTTCTAGGATCTATGAACATAATAAACTTTGTTTTCCTGAGCCTCTCCTGTGTTTTCTCTTGTGGCTGCACCCAGCTGACCATCACATATAAGTATGGAACACCAGAGACTGCAACTTGGGGCATTTCTGTGGAAAGAGTATTGGGTGAATGCCCAGTATATGCCCTTGGTGGCATGGCAGGAACTGCTCTCCTTCACCTCAAGGCCATGGAGGGCTGCAAGGAGACCACTGAGTGGGAGGACACAGCGGGCTGGGCCTGCCTCCTGCAGGATGTTTGTCCCCAAAGCAGGGGGATTTAAGTCCTTGGTAAGTGAATCCTGGATTAACCAAGACTGGGACCTTTCTGGGGCTGTTGAGAGAGGAGGACACTATGAGGTCTCTCCTAGGGTGGAATCTGTGAGGGCCTCTAAGGCTGGTTTCTCACCCTTTCCTTTGGCTGCCCAAGCTGGGAGCCCTGAGCAGCCCCCTCCCCCGACTCCTCAGAAAGGGACTCTCTGGTGTGTCACTGGCAAGGGCAGATGAAGGGGTTAAAGTGCCCACTCCATGAATGGTCTTAAGCATCTGGGACGTGGGTTGGCACCCATCTCCACAGTAACGTGAGGGTCACATGATAGATGTAAAGTGACCAGCCCTTGGCTGGGTATGTAATAAAGGGCTTCAATGGTTTCTTGTAAGCCATGCAGGCGAACAGGGAGCCAACCACTTCATTACCCAAAGGGGCCTGCGAGTCTTCCCGACCTCAGGGTACAGAAATGGGAGGCATAAAGCAAAGGGTGCTTCTCGGGAACTTTGCTTTGGTCTGAGGCCGCACTTGGGGAACAATGTGCCATTGGAGGCAGCTAGGCCCAGGCCCTAAGGATCCAGCTCTGCCCTTTCTCCCTCCAGTGGCTCTGACTGTGCCATGTGATATGCGGAGAGACTCCTCCCAGCCCTCCCAGTGAAGGAGAATCAAAAGGGGAGACTAAGGGCAGAGTGCTCAGTGCCTGTCCCTGGCCCATAGTAAGTGTGCACAAACGCTGGCTTTTGGAGTAGGGAGCCATGGGTGCGTCACTCTGGAACGAGTGGAGAATGGCATGGGGGAAGAAATTGGAGTCATAGACATATAAGCCATGTATACGAGTATTGCTGGGAATGAGGGACGCTCCTCTAGGCCTCTGGGGAACTCCCACTTTGGTGGTGATCCCTGGGAGTTGTGGCCACACCTCTGGGTCCCCCTGCTTGCTTCCTCCCAGTCACAGAGGCTTCCAGAAGATGTGGTCCAGCCTGGAGTTTCGCCCAGAGAATACGAGCTATAGCGAACAGTCGCGCCATGACTTAATATGATGACACCCTGATTGTCAATCACATACCTGCCCAAGGTTGCTAGGGAATCCCACCCCAAATCCAACAGGAGCCCTCTCTGTGGTGACTACGGTGCTGTCTCACGGGCAGAAAAGGTGGAAGCTCCGTCCCTGTTGGTCGACAAAGCTCAAGGCCATCGGTCTCTGGAACAGTCATGAGGTATGCAGGGTCCTGACTTCCAGGCCCAGGGAGAACAGCAGAGGCCTCTGGAAGACCCAAAAGAGGAGGCAAAGACCAGTTAACTAGAGGGCGTGGAACATCCCCAGGTCACCAAGGCCACCTAGGCAAAGGCAGTGAGAGGCCCTGGGTTCAAACCCTGCCTCCACCACTTTCTGGCCGTGCCCCTGGGGAGTCACTTTACTGTTTTTCTCACTTAACAGAGGGAGCAGTAATTCCCTCCTGGGGTCAGCAGAGGAAGACACCTGATATAGCGAACACAGCACCTGCGCCACATCAGTGCCCACCTTGAATATGACTGCTTTCGCCTGCCACTGGACGCTATGCACCCAGCTGGAAAAGGTCAAATAAAACTCCACAGTAAAGGAAACCTGTGGACGCCGTATGTACAAAGTGAGGTTTAATAAGGGTTACAAACGTTTGTGAGGTTTCTGGGACAACGGCCCCCACCCACCGGGAGGAGCATGCTCTGCGGACGCCGCGGCTTTTCAGCCTCTTGGGGCGGGCGCACCAGTCGCCGGCGGTGGTCAGAGCGCTGCACGGCCAGCGTGGCGCTTCTGGTGTTCGCTGAGGTTGGAGCGCTGGCTGACCGCACAGCCATACTCGTCGCAGGTGTAGGGCTGTTCGTCGGTTTGCGTGCGCAGGTAGCCCACGAGGCTGCAGTTGCGCACAAAGGCCTTGCTGCAGTGGTGGCAGATGTAGGGCTTCTCGCCCGAGTGCAGGCGCTCGTGCTGGCGCAGCTCCAAGCAGCCGCGGAAGGTCTTGCCGCACTCGGGGAAGCTGTAGGGCCTCTCACCAGTGTGCGCGCGCTGGTGCTGCACCAGGCCCGAGCGGGCCTTGAAGACCTTCTCGCACAGCGGGCAAGCGTAGGGCTTGGCGCTGCTGTGCGTGCGCTGGTGCCGGCTCAGGTTCGAGCGCTGGTTGAAGGCCTTGCCGCACTCCGGGCACTCATAGGGCTTCTCACCCGTGTGCACGCGCCGGTGCTCCACGAGGTGCGAGAACAGGCCGAAGGCCTTGGCGCACTCGGCGCACTCATATGGCTTCTCCCCGGCGACGAGCACCTGTCTCGGACCTTCCTGAACACAGTCATCACAGGGCGGGCACCCTAGCGGAAAGGAGCGCCGCGCCAGGGCCAGGGCTGGGCTGCGGCGGTGGCGCTCAACTGAGTGTGTCTTCTGGTGATGGTGGAGGCTCGAGCAGCGCACAAAGGCCTTGCCACACTTGGCACACTCGTAGGGCCGTTCGCCCGTGTGGATGCGCTCGTGCTGCAGCAGGCTGGAAGTGCGCGTGAAGGCCTTGCCGCATTCGTCACACGTGTACAGCCGCTGTGCTGGGCGGTCAGTGGCACCAGGGCTAGGGCCGCACTCAGGACACATTGAGAGGCCCGTTTGCTGCCGCTGGTCGGGGCCGAAGCATTGCCCACAGTGGACACACTGATGGGCCTCCTCTGCCACCTGCATCCGCTCCTGCGGGGCCAGCAGGGCCCTCCAGACAAAGGCCTCACTGCACCTGCAGGCCCGGGGCCACTCCACGGAGGGGCTTCGTTTGAGGGAGAGGTTGCAGTGTCCTCGGACAGGTCTGGCCATCCTCCCCCTGTTCGTATGGGTGCCAGACTTTGCGGACCTCCTGCAGCTGAGCCCAGGGGCAGCTACGGTGCAACAACTGTCTACTGCAGTGGTCAAACACAGGGGGCTTCTCCCTAGGGGGTGCTCTGTGATGCCACGCCAGGCAGTTCTGGCTGGAGGCCCTGGCACCTGCTGGACTCAGACAGGGGCCCTCCCCAGCATGCAGCCCCTCGGGGATGGCCAGGTCTGGGTCCTGGGAGGAGGCAGGGCCAAAGGGCTCCTGGACAAGGGGTCCGGCTCCTGTGCTGTGATGGGTGCCCAGGCCGGGATTCACACAGAGGCTGTAGTCACAGGAGCCCCCACCTGGGGCAGTCGTCCTGCCGCCCGCTGCGGCTCAACAAAGGCTCCCCTCCTGAGTGGGGTGCCTCCCAGCTCAGTTCTCTGCGACGGGGGCCTCGGCTCCTTCTGGAGCTTCTCCCGGCCCAGGGAGGCTGCCTGGAGATCAGCCTTGGGGATTCCTCCCTGCCCAGCGCTCTGGGCTGGAGCCTCCATCATGGGGCCGGCCCCCAACACGGAGTCCTCGTTGTAGGATCTGGAAATGCAGAGTAGAAATGGAGGTGGAGGTGGCAGTTCCCAGGAGGGGAGAACTGGAGAACTGGGCCAAAGAATGACGACCCCAAGCAGAGGCCTACAGGGGTGCCCCCAGCTTTCCCCAGCCAGACAAAGTGGAAATGGAGTGATGCTGGCCATGATAACCCGGGAGCCACTGCCTCCTGTCCCTCTTTGCCATGCTCCAGGCCACCACCCAGACCGCACAGAACAGCTTCCCTTGCTCTCTCTTCCCCCCAGTATCTCCCCTCCTCCTCCACACCAGCTGCTAAAACACCGTCACCCCTGGCATGGAACTTCAGAGGTCCTCCTCCCCAAAGCAACAGGGACTCACCTATTGCTCAGCTGCATGCTCCCCAGAATCACACCTCCACACCTGACCACCAGCTGCCCAGGGGCGAGCCTAGCGCTCCAGATCCTCCTGGCTCCCTGCCTTGGCAAGGCCTGTTCCCATTCTCCTGCCATCACCCAGCTCTTCTGGGAGGTGTGAGGTGGGACTCACCTGGCAGGGGGGAGCTCAGCTAGGAGGTCTGCCACAGTTGCCTACACCGGGCCTGCCCCTTCCCACTTCAACCAGGTAAGTTTGGCTTTCCCTGGCCTAGTGGTCTCATCCTCAAAATGAGTATAACTGTAAACGTGAACAGCTGAGCATGGGAGCTGACAACCCTCATCGTCCTGGCAAGTGTGGACACCAGGGAGACCTGATGCCTGCTACTACAATTCTCAAATTCCATTGTGGCTATATCAGTTTTATCGTTGCTGTAACAAATTGCCACAAACTCAGTGGCTTAAAGCAATGCAAATTTGACCTTCACAGTTGTGGAGGTCAAAAGTCCTAAATCAAAGTTTTGGTGGCATCAGTATCTTCTGGAGGCTCTAGGGGAGAATCTGCTTGCCTTTTCCAGCTTCTAGAAGCCACCTGCTTTCCTCGTCTCATAGCCCTTTCTTCCACCTTCAAAGTCAGCAGTGAAACATCTTCAAATCTCTCACACTCAGTCTACTGTCACATCTCCTTATAGGACTCTGACCCTCCTACCTCTTCTTATATAAGGATGCTTGTGCTCACACTGGGCCCAGCACAAATAATCCAGGGTAATCTCCCCATCTCAGGGTCCATAACTTAATCACACCTCATAATTCCTTTGCTGTATGAAAGCAAACATATTCACGGGTTAGAGGGACTAGCATATGCACATATTTTTTTGGAGGGGGGGCATTATTCTGCTTACAACAAAGGTGGACTTTTCCGAGCTCTTCACACTGTTTACTGGGAAAACACAGTATATGCATCAAAATGTCATTTAGGTGAAACAAATGGTTAGCCTGGAATCTTGAAGGATATGCTTTCAGCTCAGACCAGTCCCATCTGGAGAGAGACTCACTTGGCCAGGCACAGCTGTGACGTGCAGAGTGGGGAGGGGGTTCCAATGTGCAGACAACATGCATGAAGGGGTCGGGCAGAGGAGAAGGCCCACCTGGTGGGCAGACTGGATACTTATGGGGCAACTGAACAAGAGGTGAGAAGACAGAAGCTTATGAGAGCCAGGTTTCTCACTGTTGGAGAAAGAAGTCACAAATAAAGAAAGGGATGGGCTAGAAGCAAACCCTGTGGCACCACACTGGAGTCACAATGTGAGTTCATGATTTTTAATATACATTGATGGAGGTAGAAACACACATGCATATAAATACACATCTCCTGAGCAAGCTAACAGCCAATAAAAACAGAGAGGAGGAGGAAGGGGAGGAGGAAGACTTGCTTCTTAACTCAATGACTCACCGAGAATCTGAGAATTGACCTGTAAAAGAGACCCTGGGTAAGAACGAGACTTTTCAGGCCAGCCCGTGGCTCACTCGGTAGAGTGCCGTGCTGATAACACCAAGGCCACGGGTTTGGATCCTATATAGAGATGGCCGGTTTGCTCACTGGCTGAGTGTGGTGCTGACAAGAACGAGACTTCTCTAGGTTCTTACTGCTTTCAGAACAAAGATGGATCTGTCCAGCACAGCCTTTGGGCTATGAATCAGTGATGGCTAACATCACATGTAGAACGTGAGATGGAGGACACGCTCACAGCACCACTGTAAATCACCACTCCGCTGAGCTCAAGGGCTCAGGTTCTTCTTTAGCTCTGTGTCCCTTTCCTGTGGAAGGCAGATATCCCTTTATCAAACGTCTGGAAATCTAAGGTTATTTAGTGAGACTGCTTGCTCCACTTCTCCCTTGACCCACTGTCACTTTTTTTTTTTTTGTAACTTTTGCAAATTTCTAACAAATAGTTGCTCTGGGCCACCTGGTGGCCTGAAATAACTTGACCAGGTACTAAAAGGAATCAGGAAGCACACATTGATCTTTCAGCCAAGAACACTTCAGAGCGACTGGATGTATTTCATTCCAGGATGCTGCTGCCAACAGTCTCTGATGGATTATTTCATCCTTGGACATTGTAACAATGGCTGAAATGCATTGATGGTCAGCACTCTGAGGGCAAATGTGTTCGAGCAGGAATCATACACATTGAACTAGTTACGCACAAGAATAAGGAGAGCTAGACAAATCCCACAGGTCATGAAGGGCCACAGAGGCAAATTGGCCCCATTACTGTTCTGCTCTCCAGGAGGCTGCTCGCCTGAGCTTGGGAAGCTGAAGGCCCTATGTTGAGGTGGCCTCATGTGTTTGGCAAATAACAGGTCCTGGGCATTCATAAAGAAACAAAGGTGACAATAAGGACGGGCCTCCAGTATGACCTGAGGTTTCTCAAACAGTCTCGCTCCAGTCACACATGTGGTAACTGCACAACCCTCTTGTCCCCTCTGGATCTGAGACTGGCCTTCGACACAGGCCAGATGAGACCACCCCTCCCCGTCTGCACCTCAAAGCCACACAGAGTCTGGGTTTACTAAGACTTCATGGAGTCCCATCTGGACCCATGAGGGTGCCAATCCTTGCTGGCTCTCTCTCCCCCAGGGTGGCACTGATCAGGGCTAATCTCAAGGAAGTCCAACCCCTCCCCCCCCCCCACTGTGGAGACTGCCCTTTGTGCCTTGGTTTCTTCACTTAACAAATTAGCCAGCCAGAGCTCAAGACTCAAGTGGCCATGCTCAGAAGTGAGGAACTTCTCTGAGCATAAGGACATCTGGCTGACACTGAATCCTGGCAGTTTTTTGCCCCAGTGCTGGATTGTCCACAAGGCCCTTAGGGTGACTCATCACCATCTGTTCGATGGAAGGGTGTAAGAGAAGGGGGCATTCAATTAAAGGCATCTCCTTTCCAAATACTGTGGATTTGAGTCCGAGGATATTCCTTTCAGAAGAGGGGTCGGCTGGCTGCTACTGTAGCTTGTTATTCTCTTTCTGCCCCAAAGTATTGACTATGCAGCTTCCCAAGAACAGGACTGAGGAACACGGGCATACAGGTGAGCAAGCAGCCGTGGGCCCCACCTGCTCACCAGCGCGGACTGTCCCAAAAGCAGAGGACATGCATCTAACTCACAACAGATGCCATGCCCAGAAGTGGAAGGAGATGGCCTCATGAAGTCTTCAGGGGGTTCTCGCAGGCCCCCCAGGGAGGTTCTTTCTCTAGAATGTGGAGCATGGACTCGTTGTGTGAATAGAGTAAGTGAGCTGGGGCTCCAGGTTTCAAAAAGCACCACTTGTACCCCCTGGAAAGTTGGCAGTAAGCCCTGCCTCAGTGTTTGCCCTGATGAGGACAGATGGCCAAGAAGTCCTGACAGAAAAAAGGCAAGTGCAGAACACACTCCCACAGGGCTGGGGGGAGTGTAAAACAGTGCAGCTGCTATAGAAGTCTGGTGTTTCCTCCGAAGGTTAACCATGGAGTCACCACACCGCAATTCCACTCCTCAGTATCTACTTCTCAGTATCTCAGAGAAATGAAAACAGGGTTCAAGTGAAAACCTGTACAAGAATGTTCAAAGTGTTATTCACAATAGCTAAATGATGGAAACAGCCAAATGTCTATCAAATGGCCTACAAAAATGTGGCATATCCACAGAATGGAATATTACTCAGCTATCATAAGGAATGAAGTACTGAAATATCCTACAGCATGGATGGACCTCACGTTATGTTACATGAAAGAAGCCAGCCAGCAAAGACCACATATTGTATAATTCCATTTATGAAAAATATCCAGAATAGGCACATCCACAGAGAGAGAAAGTAGATTAGTAGTTGCCAGGGATTGAGAGGGGGGAAGAATGGAGAGTAACTGCTTAATGGGTATAGCGTTTCATTGTGGGATGATGAAAATGTTCTAAATTACAGTGATGATGGTAGCACAACATAGCGAATAATTAAAAACTTAAAAATATACTAAAACCCGGGCCGGCCCGGTGGCGCACTGGATAGTGTGCCGCTTGGGAAGCGCCGCAGCGCTCCTGTCCGAGGGTTCGGATCCCACATACAGACCGGCTCCCGCTCACTGGCTGAGCGAGGGGCGGGAGCAACGCCGAGGCTTGCGATCCCGTTGCCGGTCCCCGGTCCGGTACGGGGGCAACACTGAGGGTTGCGATCCGTTGCCGGACACGGAAAAAAGACAAAAGACAAAAAAAAAAAAAAAAATATATATATATATATACTAAAACCCAACCTGAATTGTTTACTTTAAAGTGGCTGATTTATGCTATGGGAATTATATCTTAAAAAAAAAAAGCAGAATGCAACCATGGCATAAAGTGTTCCTGCTGCAGCATGGTGGGTGTCTGCCCACCCCACAACATCCAGGACGTCATTTGACCTCCAGCCACAGGGAGAGCATTGCACAGGACAGAGGTGTGTGGGTTTTTAAACAATACTTTTTTTTTTTTTTTTTTCTAAAGATGACCGGTAAGGGGATCTTAACCCTTGACTTGGTGTTGTCAGCACCACGCTCACCCAGTGAGCAGCATTTTGACAACTAGAACATCATTAGCATTTCAAAAGTCCCTTTCATTCCCTTTTTCTATTCCCACTTTTCCATACCTACTAAAGCAACCACATTTGGCTTAGTTGAGATTTGCCCTCATTTTAAAGTTACAATGGAATGAACACATTATTTTCATGTTGTTCCCTTTATTCCACAATATAAGAAAAACTATATTTTCTGTTGTACACTGTATTCATTCCTGTTGGGTTTGTAAAACGTAATAACTTCGTATAGCATACATTATACGAAGTTATACGATGTCATCTTTTAAAGAAAAAAAAAAATTGCTAGGTAAACATAAAACATTAAATTCTTGCACATGGCCAAGCTTACTGTGCACCAGAGCAACAAGCACAGTTTTCACATCAGAGGCACAAGCTCCAGGGTGACAGCATTTTCTTCAATGAAGTGTCTCTTAATCCATTCACATAAGAAAGAAAATTCTTTGTAGAAAGTTGAACATGCCCACTGGGAATAATGGGCAGCATGCTCAGGGCACAGGGTGATTCCTTTTTTATTTTATTTTATTTTATTTTTATAAAGATGACTGGTAAGGGGATCTTAACCCTTGACTTGGTGTTGTCAGCACCACGCTCACCCAGTGAGCAACCAGCCATCCCTATATGGGATCCGAACCTGGGGCCTTGGTGTTATCAGCACTGCACTCTCCCGAGTGAGCCACGGGCCGGCCCACACAGGGTGATTCCTTATGGTGGCACAAGCCCAAGGGCACTGCTGTCCTCTTATTTACAGATGGGAAACTGTGACTTGGGAAGGATGAGAATCAGGCAGGACACAAGGCATGGGGACTCATGTCCTGACCATCGTGCTCTGTCCACACCCAGGCTGCCCATTGGCTCCCACCACCATCTGTTGAGTTCAGCTTCTGCCTCTCACAGGCATGGGCTTCTCCCTCTGAAGAGTATCTGCTGGCCATGGAGAGCTGTGCAGGGCAGGCCCACCCTGCCTACCTACCCTGCACCTCCCAAGTGTCTGCCTCATTTTGTACAGTTACTCGGTCTGCCTTTGAGAGGCCAGGCTGACTCTGCAGGGGGCCAACTGCAGAGAACTTAAGGAAGCTGCCAAGACCCTCTGCTAAGGGGATCGGTCCAGGGTCACTGCCAGGCTGGGATCCCAGGTCCCCACACAAAAGAGGTGACTCCCCAGCCATGAACACTGCTGGGGTGCTCTGTAACCCCAAGGTACATTCCAGCCCCTCACACAGAAGAGTGAGCACCCCACCATGAGGGCTGAGCAGCAGGAGGTCAGATGCCCAGGGTTCTGTGCCATTGCTATTATGTTCCAGCTCAGACCCCTGGGGAGGAGCCAGACTTCCACAATCTGGTATCCTGGAAGCCCCACAGGCAGGATTCCAATCTCTCTGACACATGAGGTCACAGTACCCCAGGTATGTAGGACCTGGGCATCTGTTATGCTCCTGCTCCAGGCTTCCAGTGAATGCTGCCCCTGAGGGGTTGCAGCTGCTGGCCTCGTGCTGCAATCTGCAACAACAGCTGGAGGCCTAAGCAGGGCCTGGGGCCAGCACTCTACATGACCTCCTGGATCTCTAGGGACCTGGGAGCTGAGGATGGAAGAAGACACCTCGGGCAGCCTGGCCATACCAGGACAGCTAATCACCATGGAATCAGTGGAGAGGCCCAAGGATGAACAGGGGCATGAGGTTGCCCAGAACTGGGCAGGTTCCACTGAAGGAGGCTATAATGGGTTGAATGATGTCCCCCCAAAGAAGGTATGTCCACACCCTGATCCCTGGAACCTCTGAATTGACCTTATTTGGAAAAAAAGTCCTTGCAGATATGATTAAGGATCTTGAGATCACCCTGAATAACCTGGATGGGCCCTAAATCCAACGACAAGTGTTCTTATAAGAGGAAGGCAGAGGAAATTTCAACAAAAAGAATAGGAGGCCATGGGAGGACGGAGGCTAAGACTGGAGTGATGCAGCTGCACTCCAAGGAACACCTGGAGCCACCAGAAGCTGGAAGAGTAAAGGAAAGATCCTCACCCAGACACCCTGATTTCAGACTTCTGACCTCCGAACTGTGAGAATAAAGATCTGTGGCTTTAAGCTACCCAGTTTGTAGTAATGTGTTCTAGCAGCCACAGGAAACTAATGCAGAGACTGATCCAGCACTCTCGGTTGCATGTGGGAGCTCTCCTGACTCCTGATGATGGGGAGTCAGATGACTGCTTAGTGTCTGAACAGAAGGTCGGGGGAAGCCAGGTGGTCCTGGGAAGAAGCAGCAGCCCCAACGTGGCAGGAAGGTGCCCTGAATGAATGTGAGGTGGGGGCCAAGGACCACCTGTTAGCCATGTGCACAGAGCATTTTCAGGAGAATGGTCCACGGATGCCCTGCTCGCATTGGTGGCTCCTCTGCCAAACAGCTGCAAGGAGACTCTGCCTCCTAGCAAGAGACACAGCAGGTGGAAGCTGTAGACCGTGGCTGAGTCTCCTGGCCCCCCTGCCCTGCTCCTAGCCTGCACTGTCCAACTGTCTCACCTGTATTTGGACAACCTTCCACCCAGGGACCCAGGATCTGAGGCTGAACACAGCTAGGGCAATCCAGGCTCCTGGTCCTGAGGCTCTGGGAGTCGGTTCTCAACCCTGCATTACAGCTCTCCAAGATGTAACAGTGATCTCGTCTGCCGCAGGTGAGCATGTGCCCCACCCTGGGTGCTCACCCAGCCTTTCTAATTGTCCTCAGGGCTGCTGGTGTTGGGGTACAGGCTGAACAGCAGCCATATTATGGGACAAGGGGACTGAGAAGTTAACATGTACAAGGCTGAGCTCTGCAGGACCAATGGGCAACAGCATACTCGGGAAGGTTAGTGAGGTTCAGCGTCCTCACTGAGTGTGGACATGGCCTAGTGCCGTCTTATCAGCCCAAGAGGGTATGTGGGGAAGTCAACATAGGTGGCTTTGAGGTGTGGAGACACAGGCTCAGTGCCCAGCCCAGAGCCACTCTATCTCTCTGGGGCAGACCAACCTCATCCGCACTGACCGTCCCAGCCCATATGTTCTATACTACACTGTACATGCAGTGGAGAGAACAGTCCACTGCACACAGTAGGGCAGAAGGAATGTCCACAACTCCCTTCTGTGCCTGTGCTCCCCACTGTGCCTCCATCCTCAAGGATCAGCAAGCTTCGACATTCGCAAGACATCTACTATGTCAGGGTCTGGGGACTCTACTCTTATAGTGAGTGAATAAGGGGAGAATAAGCAAGAATTAAAAAAACGAAAAAGGAGGCAATTTAACAGAAAGACAAAGACGTTAACATCAAACAAGGAGCAACGCGAGAGCGTTGTGGAGGGAGGCAGCGGTTTCTTCTGGCCTCTCTGAGGAGGGAACACTGGAGCTGAGGCTAAAGAAAGAAAAGGAACCGCTGGGTGTGGCGACAGGGAAAGGGGACTGCAAATGCAAAGCCCAGGAGAAGGGACCAGAGGCAGTAGGTAGGCGGATGTCGGCCACGGGGAGGATGTGGGCTTCATTCTGAGACCTTTAGGCCTCCCCTCCCGGCCTCAATCTCCACACCCAGGATGGGGAAACTCAGGAGCCAGAACAGCAGACGGACCCGCCCGGAACTGAAGGCCCCGCGTGCGGTGGTCCGCCCGGACCCAGCGGAAGAGGACCGGAAGGGCGCGGAATCACGCCTTCGCCGCAGGCACCGCGCGCCGGGGTTGGGGAGGGACGCGGACGGCGGCCATGCCGAAGACCTGGAGGTCCCCACCTCGCAGTATGGGATCGCGGGTCCGCGCAAAATGCCACTTACTCACTGGGGACGGCCCGTACAGATCCCCTGGTCCCCGCCCCCGACACAGCGCGGAGCCTTCCTCCCGCCTCCTCTGGGCCGCCATGGCACTGAAGGGTCGTGGCCGCCGCAACGGTGGGCGGACGCCCGCATGGCAGCTGCTGGGAAACGTAGTCCAGCTGACTGGAAAGATGGCGGAGACCGGGACTCCCGGTTGTCACAGCAACGGAAGCAGGCTATATTTAATAGGCAGGCGCAGACCTGCGTTGTCGCCCAGGAAACTGAGCCTCCTACCCGAGTAAAGTCCCGCCCCCGAAAAGCGGGTGATTGACCACGATAATGATTGATTGCCCTCGCTTCCAGTCAGATTTCTAGGAGGTCCTGACTCGGAAACAGCCTGCGATTCCCAGCATCAGTCGAGTGGGAGAACTGGGAATGGGAAACAACTGGGGAACTCTGAAATGTCCCGGTGAGCGGGCTACTCGTCAGACAGATGAAATCAGAGTCAGTGGGAATGGATCACGAGCATCTGGGTGTCAAAACCCCCCAGTTGGGGAGACAAATTTGAGCCTTCCCTCTTGCCTCCTTGCCATAAAGCCTTTTCTAAAAAAAAATTAAAACAAACAACCTGCCGAGCTGATTCTAATCTGTGCAGCCCCGTTGGAGAACCACGGCCTCCCCAACCCCAAAGGTGGTTTTAACCCTACTAGCTCTCTTTGGTAGGATGAGCTGGTCAGGCCTCCTACTCATTTATGTCTCCCTCATCTTGTCCCCATCTATTCCGTGGCTCCTGCCCTCCATAGGGACATCTAATTTAGTTAGCCGGTTCAGTATATGTATTGACCCAGCAAGCCCCTATCTGCTTCCACTGCATCTCTCAGGGGCACTGGGACTGTTCCATTCCCTTTCTCAATCCTGTGAATATCTGGACATCAAGCGCCCTGCCAAGGGGTCTGTCTCCCTGTCCAGGGACAACACTAGGACTTACCATGCTCACCGAGGTTAGGGAGGTGGCTGAAGGGCACTTGGAAGGCCGCTTGCCCGTGTGCGTCCCCTGGTGGCTCAAGAGCAAGTTGCACACGAAGGCCTTCCCTCAGTTGCTGCAGAGAAAGGAGTGCAACCGCTGGCTCCGTGTGGGCGTGCAGGTTTTGCCACTGGCTGAAGGCCCCACTTGCCTCAATAAGGATACACATAGGACTTCTTGTGCCTGTGGGTGCACTGCTGCTGTAGGAACTTCGAGCTCTTGCTGAAAGACTTCCCATTCTTGGTGCACAGAAAGGGTCCTTGCTCACCAAATAAAAGCCTCATTGCTGTCAGGGCAGGCATGGAGCTCTTGGCACTCATGGAGGTTGAAGTGCCAATAAAAGGCCTTGCTACCCAGCAGGCATAGGTGTGGAGGGTTTGTCGAGGCAGACCAGCTGCAGGGTCTGTGGAAGGTCTGCCTGCCTTCCCAACTTTTACACAAGACTGTTGCCTAAGTGTACCCTGCAGGGTTAATGCTGGGGCCAGAAACAGAGAAAACACCTTGCCACACTGGCCACATACATGTGGCTTCAGGAGTGAGTTCCTGGGTCATACAGGACACTGGAGAGAAAGTAGGGCTCCCACACAAGGGGTCCAGCTCCTTTGATCTGAAAAGTTCCTGAGCTGGGGCTCATGCCAAGGCCACAGCCCTAGGACTCTGTGCTCTGGGGAGCTGTCCTGCTGCCTGCCACCTCTCCACACAGGTCTCCCTCCTAAGAGGAGGTGTCTCCCAGCTCTGTCCTCTACACGGGGGCTCGGCTCCATTGCAGCCTCTCCTGAGGGCCCAGGGAAGCAACTGAGAATCAACCTCCATCCTGTGGCTGGCCCCCAACATGAATCCTGGTTGAAGGGTCTGGAAGAACATAGGTGAAATGGAGGTTGGCAGTTCCTGGACAGAAGGTGCTAGGATTCATGAAGGCAGACCCCAATGCCTGAGGCATCCTGGATGGCTGGGCTAAATTTCCTCAAGAATCTTGAAAGCTGTAGAAAGAGGAGAGAGAGAGAGAGAAAGCATGAAATCTCAGCAGAAGCTGCAGGCAGCCAGCACAATGAGTGAGGTGGCCAGAGGTCACCTCCTTGCCTCTCCAGGCTTGGTTCTGCCCCTCCCCTCCACTGTCTTAATCATGGCACAGAACCTGTCTTCTCACCCACTGCAGGCCTATGCTGACCTCTGACATGTCCTCCTCATCAGCTGCCCTGGACATACTTCCAGGCTGTCCAACTGACAAGTCACGCCTAACACTAGCCCTTTGGTGGCTGTGCTGGCCTCATGATGGGAACTACTGCAGACTGGGGCTTAGAATTCAATGTATGTGTGTGGTATGCAGAATAATGGACCCCCAGAACCTGTGCATGTTACCTCATATGGCAAGAGACTCTGCCAATATGATTATCCACATGGGCCCTAGGTATAATCACAATGGTCCTGAAGAGGAAGGCAGGAGGGCCAGAGTCAGAGAAGAAAGTATGAGAACAGAAGCAGAGGTCCAAGTGATGTGACCGCAAGACAAGGAATACAGGTAGGTGGCCTCTAGATACTCATTTTCCAGCAAGAAACACATTTTCCCCTGGAGCATTCAGAAGGAACACAGCCCTGCTGTCACTTTGATTTTAGCCCCTAACACTCATTTTGGAATTCTGACCTCTAAGTTGCAAGATTATAAATGTGTGTTGTTTTATGCCACTAAGTTTGTGGTAATTTGTTATAGCAGCAAATAGGAAACTGATATGAGGGTTCTTCAAAAAGTTCACGAAGGGGCCGGCCCGTGGCTCACTCGGGAGAGTGCGGTGCTGATAACACCGGTTCACTCACTGGCTGAGCGTGGTGCTGACAACAACAAGTCAAGGGTTAAGATCCCCTTACCGGTCATCTTTAAAAAAAAAAAAAAAAAAGTTCACGAAGGGTTGGTCGTGAGCTCAGTTGGTTAGAGAGCAGCCTTGTAACACCAAGGTCAAAGGTTTGGTTCCACTTGCTGGCCAGCTGCCCTCCAAAAATAAATAAATAAATAAATAAATAAATAAATAAATAGGCCTGGGGCCTGCCCGTGGCTCACTTGGGAGAGTGTGGTGCTGATAACACCAAGGCCACGGTTCGAATCCCTATATAGGGATAGCCAGTTAGCTCAGCATGGTGCTGACAACACCAAGTCAAGGGTTAAGATCCCCTTACCGGTCATCTTTAAAAAAAATAATAAAAAGTAAAAGCCTTCTTGAAAAAATAGAATTAAAAGATAACACAAATTTTTTTGGCTAGTACAGGGATCCAAACCTTTGACCTTGATGTTGTAACAGCCTGCTCTAGCCAACTGAGCTAACTGGCCAGCCTCCCATCTCCCTTTTGAACAGAGCAAGTGCAGGCCTCAGGCCCAGAGCCTCTGTCTTCAACATCATCAAGCACAATTTAACCACAGTAGTCCCTCCTGGTATTTCTGCCTGTGGTTCCCTTCCTCTGTCACATAGTGCTGGTTTTACATTTTGGATGGTGGTGTTAAATTTCCTTATCAATAAATGAATCCAAGTAAAAACAAGTGAATTGATATATACCAGTGGCTACCAATCTGGGGACAGTTTTGTTCTCCAGGGACACTAGGGATGCCTACAGACATTTTGGACTATTACAACTGACCAGGGGTGGGAGGTGGGGAGTGCTACTGGCATCCGTGGGTAGAGGCCAGGGATGCTAGTAAACATTCTAAGATGCACAAGACAGCCATCCGCCACCTCCAACAAAATGGCAATAATGCCGAGGTGGAGAACCCTAGTGAAAGAAAACCACGAAGTACAGGTGGAACACTCAAGGGGCGAGGATTGTCTGGGAAGGACTGAGTTTGTGCAAGGTGGAACTGGGCTCGGATCTAAGTAAAAAAGGCCAGACACAAAAGGCCATATACTCTATGGTTCCATTCCTGTGAAATGTCCAGAACAGGCAGAACCATAAGGAAAGTAGACTCAGTTGCCAGAGGCTGGAAGGAGGGGATAAGAGGGAATGCGGTTAACAGGTAGAGTTTCTTTCTGGGGTGATGAAAATGTTCTGGACCTAGACAGTGGATGATGGTTGCATGACTTTATGAATATACTAAAAAATACTGAATTGCACACTTTACAATAATCTTGTGAGGGCTGGCCAGATAGCTTGGTGGGTTAGGGCGTGGTGTTGGTAACACCAACGTCAAAGGTTCAGATCCCCACACTGGCCAGCTACCAAAAAAAAAAAAAAAATCTTGTAGTATGTGACTAATATCCTAATTAAAAAGTTTAAATAAATAGGCAAGCACTCTTGACATGTGATATTCTGCATTGTCACAGGACTCTTCCCAAAGTCTCCACCAAGAAGAAAGCCCTCACCTCACCAGATGTGCCCCCTGGAGCTTGAACTTCCCAGCTTCCAACACTCTTCAGGGGTAGCCAGATACCACAGTGGGAGCAGCCCTATGGAGAGGCCCATGTGGTAAGAAACTAAGGCCTCCTGCTAATAGCAGTGTGAGGGAGCAGGTCCTCCAGCCCCAGACAAGCTTTCAGATGACCGCAGCCTGGCCAACAGTTTGAGGGTTTTTTTTGTTTGTTTGTTTGTTTTTGGCAGCTGGCCAGTATAGGGAGGTTTTTAAGTTTTTTCTTTCTTTCTTTTTTTTTTTTTTGTGGCTGACAGTTTGTAACCTCATGAGAGGCCCTGAGACAAAACCAACCAGCTAAGCAACTCTCTAATTCCTGACCCTCAGAAACTAGATGAGACAATATACTGTTTGTTGTTTTAAGCTGCCAGATGTTGAGATAATTTATGTGGCAATACACTGACTTAAAATGTAATTCCTGTTTGATCCCTGTACTGGCCAGCTGCCAAAATAACTCAATAAAGTAATATAAAATTTAATTACTGTTTCTAAATAAAATTATTCATTCTTTTATATATAAATAAATAAATAAAGCTGTTAGTAAAGACCTCGTGGAGAAGGTGGAATTCAAGGTAAGATCTGAGGAAGGAAGGGAGTGAGCCACAAGGCTCTCTGGGGAAGAGCAGGTCAGGCAAGGAAACAGCATGTGCAAAGGTCCTGGGGAGGTCCTTGTGGCTCCACACACAAGATGAAGGTGGAGGGAGACAAGGGTCATAACTTGTGGGCCTAGCAGGTCATGGTGCAGATTTTGTCTTTTCCTGTGAGTGACACAGGGAGCCAAAGAAAGTTCTGAGTAGGGGAGGGACAAAACCTGACTTAAGATTTTCACAGGCTCCCCCTGGCTGTCATGGGGAGAATGGAAATTTTCCTTTTTGGGGCCTGGCCTTAATCTCTGAACTTCTACAGGGTTGAGAAGTGTCTGAAGCTCCACAGCTGGGCCTGACTCCCAGACACAAGGGGTCTCACATGTGCCAACCCAAGTCAGAGCCCCTCACCGCACCCCCACAACCCCTTCCCTGCCTCCAAAGCCTGACTTCCAGCCAGAAACCCAGGAGGTGGACTTGCCAACCTGGGTAGGGGTCCAGTCACTTAGCAAAGCTTGCTGTCTGTCTGCCCCTCCTTCTCACCCCATGACCCTACTGGAGGGGCCTCCTGCCTCTCCCTCCACATTCAGCCTCCATGAAAACCTCTGAGGGATCTAATACTCCACATTGATGTTGCCAAGTAGCAACACAGGATGCAAAAGAGCCCACAGGGGAAGTATTTCTACCATTCAACTCAATGTGGCATCCTCTGCAGGCGTCTGTGGGCTACGGGCCATCTGTCTTTATACCTTTCTGATCCTATGTACCTCTCCTGCATTTTCTCCAATAAGCAGATGTTACTTTTGGAAAAAGATATAAAATCAAAAGGCATCACATTTTTGCAGTCACAACACTTCAGTGACCCCTTGTCCTAAGAGTTGAGCTGGGTTATCTGTTACTGTGTAGCAAACTACCACGACACCATTTCATCATGGTCATGACTCTCTGTGTGCATGTAGACCAGCTCTATACTAACTAGAACCTCCACTGGAGTGGCTCCAACAGCAGGAGATGACTGGGGTGTTATGTCTGGAGCCTGGCATACAGCAGAGCTCCATAAATGTCTGTTGAATGAACAACCCATTTTACAGAAAATTAACTAAGGCCACAAAAGGTTGGGTGACTTAACAGTGGCAGCAGCCAGTAAAGGGCAGGTACGGACGCTCAGGTCCACAAGCTCTGTTGTGTGTCCGCAAGTTCCAAAGTCTGTTGTGTGGCCACAGGCTGTGCAGTCCCTGGCAGGCCCCTCCTTTGGACCCCATCTGTCAACCTTCAGCCTGTGGGACACCTACCCTGCCAAGACCACATTTAGGAAGCTGGACCTACAGTATACAGGTGCCATCTTGGCGGCACGAGCCCTGTGTCCCTTGGTCCAGCGAGAGAGTCTGATACCAGTCAAATGATCACTCAATATAATGAGAAAATCATGTGAGCTTCCAAGGGGGAGAGGCTGAGCCCGAACTTTACAAATCCTATAAAAGCAGCTAGGCACCATCCGGCCCTGTGCAGCTGAGTGTCACACGGATTGATTCATTTAGTTCTCACGCCAAGTTTAGAAAGCGGGCGGCATTCTATCCATTTTACAGACCGGGAAACGCGGGCTCAGAAAGAGGAAGCCTCAGGGGCTGGCCAGTTAGCTCGGTTGGTTAGAGCGCAGCCTTAAAACACTAAGGTCACGGTTTCAGATCCCGCCAAAAAAGAAAAAAAAAAAAGAAGAAGAAGAAGAAGAAGAAGAAGAAGAAAGAGGAAGCCTGGCCAGGGCAAAATTCCTAGCCCCCTAGTAAGTACAGAGCTGATCTATACACACACACACACACACACACACACACACACACACACACACACTCTCTCCTAGCCCCCTAGTAAGTACAGAGCTGAACTATACACACACACACACACACACACACACCCGTGAGCATAATAAAATGGTGTTGCGATGGTTCGCTACTCAGTAATTGATAAGCCAGCCCCAATTCTGAAACCTCTCCAGGAATCTGCAAACTTTAACGCCCAGAGCCCATGCAGGGCTTTAAATGCATGGGAGAGACTGGAGCTCATGAACTCCCCATGCGGGGCGGGGCGAGGGAGGCGTTCCGTGTTATCCTTATTTTACAGACGAGGACGCTGAGGCCCAGGCAGGAAAACCACGCATACCGGGCTGAGCCCATGCAGCCTGACTCGGACCCACTAACCACGCCTCGGTCACGTGCTCCACGTCGCCGAACCCCTCACCTGCCCTGCGAGCGCGGGAACATCGCGCCCCACTCGCCCATCACGGACTGGCAAAAGGGAGCCTCCCGCGCCGGGCCCAGGAGCCGGTCGCCGCCGAAGAAATGGGTGGCTCCTCGGGAGCTATCGCCAGCCCTCTGAGTGGCCTCGGACCCGAGGCTCTGACGCGGCAGGTGGCCCAGGCCGGTCGCCCCCTCTAGCCACGTTCCACTTCGGGTCCAGCCTGAGCCAGACCTCACGGCCCCTCCGCCCCGGAACCAACAGCGCGACCCCGCCACAGCCCCGCCGGGACCTGAAGGGCAGGGAGTCCAGCCGCTTGCCCCTCAGCGACGCCCTGATTGGGTTGCTCTGGGAGCCCGGAGGACTGCCGTCTCGGTGGTTCTCCACGCCAGCGCCGCATCCAGGGTCCCTTTCCCCGCTAAGTGACCTCCAGAGGAGGCCCAGACGCAGGGCCTTCCCCGCGTCTTTCGGGCTTGAAGGAACTGGTCCTAAAGGCCCGTAGGAACCAGCGCGGAGACCTGAAGGAAACGTAGTTACGCCCCGACTACGATCCGGACTCTGACGGGTCGCTGTACGACAGCGAATAGGACCAGAGAGAACGGTGTGTTGTCACGCAGGACTGCTAATTATGGTTGCCTTGGCGACCGTCCCCCAGACCTAACGGGGCGGTAGGGACTTCGGCTTCCGCATGAGGCTGAAACCTTCCTGCAATTCGCCATTGCCTTGGAGACGCCTCACATCATCCTGCCCTCCAGTTACTTGGATGCTGGTGATTGATAGCTCCCAGGCGGAGGGCCGGACCTCCGACCCTGGGCCCGCAGTCCGCAGGCGCGTGGGGACTCTAGTGCAGAATGGGGCAATGCCAGGGCTCCCCCAAAATGTTTGAGCCGTGTCTTTAGACACCCCCCCCCAAAATGCCTGTGTCCGAGTTCTCCCGGCTCTGTGACCAATAATTTCCTAAATTCCCATTTCGAGTTCCCACAAGTCCAGTTGCCTGAGTCTCCCCTAATTCATTCCTCCGAGTTCCCCCAATATTCGCCTCTAGTCATTCTCCAATTGCTAACTCTTGGTTCCGCCAAGTCTAGGTACCTGTTTATTCCTAGTTTGTGCCACGCACCCCCAAATCTCAGCCACCACGAATCTGTGTTTGTGACTGTTCAGAGTACATATATCTGGTCCCCCAAATCTGAGACCCTGCACCTACTAAGTCAGGATATATGGGTCTCTAAAATGTTTCTGGGTTTATCCTAAATCCAGGCCCCTGAGACCGCCCCATTAAGACCATGTTCCAAGTTCCCCAAATCCAGCCCAGTTCCTCATCTCCCCTATCCCAGGTGCCCCAAGTAAGGGTATGGGACTGGACCTTATCCAGCATTGCCACTCCAGCTATGCACATTCTGCCCCATCATCCCCTAGTTCCACAGAGCCACCCCAACATGGTCCCAATTTACAGCTGAGCAAGTTGAGAACTTGGAAGAAGCTTAAGCCAGTCCAACCCAGCATATAAACTGGCCCAGACACCCGCCCCTGCCTAGAGGTCCAGAATTCCCCCTCCTGGGCCAGACCACCCACCCCCTAGGAACCCAGCCTTAGACATGCTGGTCAGTGCCAGGGACAGCAGGAAGCCCAGGGCAGTGGGCAAGGCTCAGCTTGTCTGCCATGGAGCCATGGGAGAGGAGATAGTTGGATAGTCTGCAGGAGTTGGAGGAGCAATAAATGTGCTGTTGTAATAGCCTGAACAGAAGTGACTCCATTTTGCTAAGCCTTTGAATTTAAAAACTTATTCTTTCCTGTAACTCAACCAAACAGTCTGCAGCTAATTGCCAAAACACAATGACTTTTGCTCTCACATTGTATACAAATAATAAGAGGGAAAATTATTAACTCATATGGCCATTCTTTACTAGTTTACTAACCTGATCTTATTTGAGAATAACAGGAACTGAGCCCATGGAGAATGATAAATGACGCTGGTTAATTCCCACTGGGAAGTTCCTTGACCATTATCTGAAACACTGAAGCATGTCTGCACGTCCCCACTTGCTCACCATAAATCAACTTTCCACCCCAGAGCCCTATAAAACCCTTTTTTTTTTCCTTTTTGTCTTTTTTCTTGACCGGCAACGGGTTCGCAACCCTCGCGCGCGCTCAACCAGTGAGCGGACCGGTCTCTACATGGGATCCGAACCCTTGGCGGGAGCGCCACCACGCTCCCAAGCGCCGCACTCTACAGAGTGTGCCACCGGGCCGGCCCATAAAACCCTTTGACAAACCTGGGAAAGGCAAAGATGGTCTTTGAGGCATAAGTCCATCATTTCCCCAGGCTGCCAGCTTCCTGATTAAGCCTACCTTTCCTTACATCTACACTCGTCTCTCAATTATTGGCTATTGAGCGGTGAGCAAACAGACCTTTGGGGTTTCGGTAACACTGATGTTCATTCATTCCTTTATTTGAGCAGGCCTGGAGTCAAGGCCAGCCCTTCTTGATAATTACATGTGTATTAGTCCCTTTCTGTTGCTTATAACACCATACCTGGAACTTAAGAAAACAAAATTTATTGCTTACAGTTTCAGAGGCTGGGAAGTCCAAAATCCAGGCAGGGAACACATCTGGTGAGGGTCTTCTTTGGTGGCTTTACAACAATGCAGGGGTCTCACATGGCAGAAAATGGCACAGCAGAGATTCTTCATCTACTCTCCTTTTAAAGCCTCCCGAACCACATCCCTGACCACCATTATTAATCCATTCACTAAGCATGGTCCTACAATCCAATCACCTCCTCAATGCCCCCCCTTTCAATTACCATAATAGGACTTCCCACCCTCTTAACACTGTCATAATGGGGACCAAGCCTCCGACACATTAAACTTCTGGGGGACACAACTTAATCCATAATAACATGGTTACTGGATAAGCAGCATTTTCTTTGAAGAGAGAGAGGGCTGAGAGGCAGAGAGAGTCCTTCTCCAGATTATGCCAGATCCAGGGGAAAGGACTGAACGCATTTGTTCATTGAGCAAATATTTCTTGGGCAGCTTGTATGTGCAGGGACCCCCAGTCATGATGCGGAGAGGGCGGAAAGGCCAGCTGAGGCAGGGAAGGTCAGACTTTGGGCCCAGCCACCATAGATTCCCAGCCCACCCTCTTGCTGTGTGATTCTGGGCAAGTTATTCCACCTCTATGGGCCTCCATGACTATGTGTAAAGTGGGGATGTCCACCTCATAAGATGGACTCCAACTAGGAGGTGGCCGAGAACAAGGTGGAAGGGATGGTATCATAAACTGTCGCCGTGAGGTAGTCAGGGAGAGCCTCACCAAGAAGACATGAAAGCAAAGGTCACAGATGGCAAAGGGAGCCTTTAGGATATCTGGTGTATATTAGTTTCCTGTAGCTGCTGCAACAAATTACCACAAACTTGGTAGCTTAAAACCACAATCTATTTTCTTATAGTTCTGAAGGTCAGAAGTTCAAAATCAAGGTGTCACAGGGCAATGCTCCCTCTGGAGAATCTAGAAAAGGACCTTTCCTTGCTTCTTTCAGTTTCTGGTGGCTCCAGACATTCCTTGGCTTGTGGCTGCAACGCTCCAATCTCTGCCTCTGTGGTCACATGGCCATCTCTCCTGTGCTTTTGGTTTTGGGGGGTATTTTTTAGGGGGTGGGCTGGTCAGTATGGGGATCTGAACCCTTGACCTTTGTATTATAACACTGCAGTCTAACCAACTGAGATAACCAGCAAGCCCATCTTGTCTCTTAAAAGGACACCTGTCAGGGGCTGGCCAGTTAGCTCATTTGGATAGAACGTGGTGTTATAACACCAATGTCAGCTAGCTGCCAAAAAAAAAAAGACACTTGTCATTGGATTTAGGGCCCACCCCAGTAATCAAGGATGATCTCATCTTGGGAACTTCAACAAAATTACATTGGCAAGGCTGGCCGGTTGGCTCAGTTGGTTAGAACATGGTGTTATAACACCAAGGTCATAAGGGTTCAGATCCTCACACCAGCCAGCCACCAAAACAAACAAAAAAACAATAAATTACATTGGCAAAGACTCTTTTTCCAAATAAAGTCACATTCACAGGGTCTGGGTATCAAGACATGGACATCTTTTTGGACGCCACCATTCAACCCACTACAAGTGGGCATCCCACGGGAGCACATGGTGGCTGCACCAGGGTGGGCCATGATGGACTGGCCATGGGTATAAAACTGGATTTGGGACTGGGCAGGGCTGGGCTTGGCTCTACCAGGCAGCTGGGCGTAGCCAAACCTGGCACATTCCAAACTGGTTGAAAATCAGGTTGGCAATTTCAGCAGATATCCAAGGTGCCAGCAAGGGCAGCGAGCAGTCACCATGAGAAGGATATGAGGACAGCTAACAGCAGGACTGTGGCAGAAGGGTGGACAGGTGAAGTGGCTGCCTGGACAGTAGGGAGGTGTCCCAACAGGGCCTGGAGGATGCTTTCCAGGAGGTGGGAAGCCTGGGTTGGGGCTGGTCAGCCCAGAATGGACATGATGCACCAGGAAGTGAGGAAGTCCTCTGCAGAGTCTCTGGGGTTCCCACCCAGTCTGAAGAACATAGTGCCTGCAGCCCTAGACCTATGGATTCAGACTCTGGATCTCGTCCCAGCATCCTGAGGACCTGGGGAAGACATCCTGGGCCTGGCAGGGGCCTGTGAATCTTGGCTGTGCAGGACCACGTCTACAATATTCCCCAATCCCCAACTGATGGGACAGTGCCCAGGACCTCCCACTTGCCCTCCACAGCATGACAGCTCATTCTTGAGAGGTCTATAAAGATGTTCATTATCAAATAACTATAGGGGCCAGGCCACCAGCTCCAAACTGGCCTTGCTTGATTTCATTCTCATGACCACACTGAAAGAGAAAACAGGTTCAGAAGAGTGGGTCCCTGCCAGCTTTTGAGAAAAAAGCAGGGCTGGGGAATCCCACTCTGGATCCTGGCTGAGTGCCAGGGCAGCCCCCCTGGTGAGTGGTGCCTCTGCCTGCTCCCAGCCTTCCTGCTTCCCTCCAGCTAGTACCCCCTGCCCAGCACCTAACCCCTTCTCCAGCCCCACAGGACCCAGTGGGAGCCCCAAGGCCACTGCTCTACCAAGGGTAGACAGCAGAGGTAATGGCCATGGGCAACAGGTTGGCTGTCACCCCCATTGGAGCCTGACCCCCTGCCCAGGTCATCTTTAGGGCCTGTGTCCTTTCATGAGCTGTGCCTGACTACAATCCAAGGGAGCCCACAATAGGGAGCCCTCCACAGTCTCCAGATTGAACCACCCCTGGAATTGGGCCAGGGGGAGCCTTTACAGACAACCAGTGAAGAAACAACTGCTGAGCACCTGCTATGTGCATGCCTGGGAGTGGGAGTGGGGGACAGGCCCAGGCTGTGAGAAGGACTGACTGGATCAAGTGGCTGGACCTCCTTGAATCCTGAGGCTAAGATGGGTACCAGGGGCATCACAGCCCCATATGGCCCTGGAGTCTAGTTCTGCTAGACATCACCCCTATGCATGATGCTAGCATGGGTGTGAGGGCACAGTGGTCGCTGCCTCTGGGAAGCCGACCAAGGCTGATTCCACATCTCAGCTCAGCTCACCTAGGGTCCTAGGTCTAGGAGGCGCCGGACACGCCACGGGGGTGTGAACAGGTCATAGGGTGGCACACATTCTCCACAATGGCCACTGGGGTCATCGGGTGAGGCTGTACAGTGGACAAGGGTACCCACCATCATGCCAAGCCCCTGCATCAGCCCAGTAACTGTATCACCACAGGCCCCAGATGGGTCAGAGTGGGACCCGTCCTCCAAGCCACCTACTGGGCACAGTTCCATGGTTTGCGGCCCTGGGAGAAGCTGACTGGGTGGGCTTCCTGTCCCTCCTCCCGCTCAGGGAGTAAACTGAGGCCCAAAGAAGGAAGCTTTACACCACCCCAGAACCTCAGAAAGGGCTTTCGGGTCGGCCCCTAGCCGGGGCTGACCTGTTCAGAGACTTCTTGGAGCAGCTGGAGGAGGGGATAGAGCTCCCCGGAGACAGGGGCTTGGGAGGCTTTATCTCCAATCCCTCCTCCTTTTAACGTTTGGCCTCAAATGTTCGTTTCCAACCCTAACCCGCCTCAAAAGGGCATCCCTGGGAGCTGGGTCTGCAGTTAGGAAGGTCCTCCTGCTGAGCGCCGCGGTCAGGGAACTGCAAGCCCCTCGCGGGGGCTCCCCACCTGTGAGTGACACAGATAAGGGGCGCCCTCTAAGGGATCCTCAACCTGCAGGCCCCGACCTCCTCCAGGATCCCACCCGCAGCTTCTAGCTCCCTCCGCTCTGGGCCGCCTACCCGGAGATGGCCTTAACATCGCTCCTGGTTGGGGTCTGACTCCCAGCGCCGCAACCCCAAGTCACTCGTCCGGGCGTCCTCCCTTCCCCGAGGCCGAAAGCAATAACTGGGCACCAGAGGTGGGGGTCGCGGAGAGATGGTGGGGGGCCGCGCGTGGGTTGACGAGAGGAGCCAAGCCGGAAGTTTGCCGCTCCCTGAGGCTCCTACCCGCAACACTTCGAGCTGAGCTTGCGAGCGTGGATGTACTTGACCGGAGATGGGGGAGGGGGCTTGCGCGTGGATCCGCGCATGCACCCAGCGACCTGACACAGGCGGGTCCCACTCCGCCAAACCGGGACCGCAGCGTGTGCGTGCCTGTAAGGCGGCCATGACCGCAGCGAGGAACTAGAGGACGCCCACTGGCTATCCCCGCTAGAAACCCACGGCGGTTGGGGCATGAGGTTAGTGGCCAAAGAAGGAAGAGCACGGGCCAGACCTTTGCCCTTAATAGACATGGCGGCATTGCCCTCACGGCGATCTTTGCGCTTGTGGAGGGGCTCACAATAAACGGGCAAATACTGGATATAGGACATCCGCCAGGCAAGCTGTGGACCGGCTTCTGAAAGTGCGCGTGCGCAGGGGATTTACGCATTCCCTCTGGTCTAAAGGACGCCTTTACATACTTACTCTGGATTGGTCCGTGCGCCCATGATGTCTTTTTACGCATTCATCGCCTCCGCTGACCCGGAAGTTCTCGCCCCAGTTAAAAGCATTGGCCCGCGACGTGCGGCCTCTTCCTGTCTGTGCCAGAGCGGCGCGTGGTCTACGCCGAGCGACAGAGACTCCCCGACTGCGTCCTCAGGTGAGACCGCTGCGGGGTCTGGGGTTCGAGGGACGGCCGGCCCAGGGTCTTCTTGGGAGCCTTCGGCGGGTCCCGAGGCCCGGGCTTCCCTTCGTTGGTCCTCACCTCTTCCTCCGCGAAAACGGTGCGGAGGAAACGGCGCGGATGTACTCACTCTTGGTTTCTTGCTGGTGCTCCGTCGCCTGCGTAGCTCTGCCGCTCACCAGGCCTCGGAGATGTTGGTTTGGACTCTGAAATTGTACACTGAGATAAGAAGCTTCCGCTTTCTTGGCTACGTGATGCACTTTTTGCTCTGTACACGTTTTCTCAATAGCAGCTCTTTGCGCCACCTTACTGTTGGATAAGGATCCAAGTCTTTGCGTTGATTATGCCGCAGAATTCGTACGGTGGTTCTTGGTGCCAGATAACGTTTCATTCTACAGATAAGGAAGCCGAGTCCAAAGCGATTTGTTGATTCTCCCAGGGTCGAAGAGCATGCAAATGGCATGGCTGGGATTTGAATCCCAGCGGGTGCGGTGTCAGGGCATTTGGTATTACCTGTGAAGCCATCGTGCCTTGATCCATGCAGCAGCTGTTGACCGTTTGACTGCCAAGTCGTAGGCCCAGGGGCCCTGCTGACAGCTGAGTGGTTTTTCTAGGGCTCAAAAAGATGTTCACAGCATTTCTTGGCTCCCTGGAGCTCCTCAGTTCGCCACAGGAGGGGCGGGGGTGTCGCAGTCTCAGAGAGTTGGGGGTGGTTGTGTTTTTGCTCTAGGCTAGCTGGGCTCTGACAGTTTCTGTCTGCCTCCAGGATGACCGAGTGGGAGACAGCTGCACCGGCGGTGGCGGAAACCCCCGACATCAAGCTCTTTGGGAAGTGGAGCACTGATGATGTGCAGATCAATGACATTTCTCTACAGGTGAGAGGGATGTGGCGGTTGATCTTCCCAGCTGGGGTTGGGAACAGATAGCTTCTTCCAGGAGGGAGCATTTGAAATTTGTACCAGTCCCACTGAGTTAGTGGTTAAAATAATGACCGGTAAAGGAGGGATCCCTGGACCATCACATCCATTCTTTCTCATGTCCTGCCCAAAATTTGCTCCAACGTTTGTCATGAGGTGGTTTCCTCCCCAGAAGGAGCATCACATCCCACATACTGGTTTAGGGGGAGGGGATAGTAAAATAACACATAACATAAAACATGAAATTCAGTATTTTAAAGGAATTTACCTCTTCAAGGCATTCCCACCTTTCCTGAGTGGGAATCAAACCCGGGCTGCAATGGTGAAAGCACTGAATCCTAGCCATCAGACCCCCAAGAAGTAGTAAAATTCACCTTTTTTTTTTTTTTTTTTTTTTTTTTTTCCGTGTCCGGCAACGGATCGCAACCCTCAGTGTTGCCCC